ACCTTGCGACCACAGCTACGAGCCGCCGCATCGGCGATTGAGGCAGAGAACATGGTCCACTCGGACTCCATGTCTTACCATACTTTTTACCAGAACAATACAAATACTTTTTACCAGAACAACACAAATACTTTTTACCAGAAGAATACAAATACTTTTTACCAGAAGAATACAAATACTTTTTACCAGAACAATACAAATACTTTTTACCAGAACAATACAAATACTTTTTACCAGAACAATACAAATACTTTTTACCAGAACAATACAAATACTTTTTACCAGAACAATACAAATACTTTTTACCAGAAGAATACAAATACTTTTTACCAGAACAATACAAATACTTTTTACCAGAACAATACAAATACTTTTTACCAGAACAATACAAATACTTTTTACCAGAACAATACAAATACTTTTTACCAGAAGAATACAAATACTTTTTACCAGAACAATACAAATACTTTTTACCAGAAGAATACAAATACCATTTACCAGAACAATACAAATACTTTTTACCAGAACAATACAAATACTTTTTACCAGAACAATACAAATACTTTTTACCAGAACAATACAAATACTTTTTACCAGAACAATACAAATACTTTTTACCAGAACAATACAAATACTTTTTACCAGAAGAATACAAATACTTTTTACCAGAACAATACAAATACTTTTTACCAGAACAATACAAATACTTTTTACCAGAACAATACAAATACTTTTTACCAGAACAATACAAATACTTTTTACCAGAAGAATACAAATACTTTTTACCAGAACAATACAAATACTTTTTACCAGAACAATACAAATACTTTTTACCAGAAGAATACAAATACTTTTTACCAGAACAATACAAATACTTTTTACCAGAAGAATACAAATACTTTTTACCAGAACAATACAAATACTTTTTACCAGAAGAATACAAATACTTTTTACCAGAAGAATACAAATACTTTTTACCAGAACAATACAAATACTTTTTACCAGAAGAATACAAATACTTTTTACCAGAACAATACAAATACTTTTTACCAGAACAATACAAATACTTTTTACCAGAAGAATACAAATACTTTTTACCAGAACAATACAAATACTTTTTACCAGAACAATACAAATACTTTTTACCAGAAGAATACAAATACTTTTTACCAGAACAATACAAATACTTTTTACCAGAACAATACAAATACTTTTTACCAGAAGAATACAAATACTTTTTACCAGAACAATACAAATATTTTTTACCAGAACAATACAAATACTTTTTACCAGAACAATACAAATACTTTTTACCAGAACAATACAAATACTTTTTACCAGAACAATACAAATACTTTTTACCAGAACAATACAAATACTTTTTACCAGAAGAATACAAATACTTTTTACCAGAACAATACAAATACTTTTTACCAGAACAATACAAATACTTTTTACCAGAACAATACAAATACTTTTTACCAGAACAATACAAATACTTTTTACCAGAAGAATACAAATACTTTTTACCAGAACAATACAAATACTTTTTACCAGAACAATACAAATACTTTTTACCAGAAGAATACAAATACTTTTTACCAGAACAATACAAATACTTTTTACCAGAAGAATACAAATACTTTTTACCAGAACAATACAAATACTTTTTACCAGAAGAATACAAATACTTTTTACCAGAAGAATACAAATACTTTTTACCAGAACAATACAAATACTTTTTACCAGAAGAATACAAATACTTTTTACCAGAACAATACAAATACTTTTTACCAGAACAATACAAATACTTTTTACCAGAAGAATACAAATACTTTTTACCAGAACAATACAAATACTTTTTACCAGAACAATACAAATACTTTTTACCAGAAGAATACAAATACTTTTTACCAGAACAATACAAAATACTTTTTACCAGAACAATACAAATACTTTTTACCAGAAGAATACAAATACTTTTTACCAGAACAATACAAATATTTTTTACCAGAACAATACAAATACTTTTTACCAGAAGAATACAAATACTTTTTACCAGGAGAGTTTGAGGAAAGAGAGAGACATACATGACCAGAGGAGGCAGGACTAAGAGTGGACTAAGTGGAGTTTCTAACCATGAAGCGATGCCATCTCCATCCCCAACGCCAAAGTCTGGATTTGATTGAATCTGCTGCGTTCTTCTTTACCCATTTTATTCTGAGGCCCCAAAAGAATCCCATTAAATCAGACGTGATATCAGATGTGAAAACAGAACTGGGTCATGGTTTGAGAAACGCTGGTGTGTGTGAATCACTGGTACATGAACTGCTCCGTGAGGGTCGGCCATTTCCTGCTGAATTACTTTATAAACACTTGATCTTGTTATTTATGGTTATTAGAAACGCTTCACTGCTCAAGCCGAGACAAGAGAAGGGTGTTTGTTTGGGGAAAATTAAAAATGCAAGTGTGAAATTACCGAGGGGTAGATTGGTAACGGAGTGATGAAAAGACAGCATGATAATCTGTAATCTGCAGTGGGTTTTTTTCTCGTTAAATTAAACACATTTCTATCTTCCTCCGTGTGTGTTGTTGTTTAGCCGTCTCTACCAGAAGCAGTCAGCACGTTGACATCTTTTGTGTATTTATTTTCACAAAACACACATTTTTTCAGGGGCTTTTATTTCAAAATAGATCTGAAACTCTTGTGCTACACTTGTGTCTTTCTGTTGTTTTATGTATATTTTATAGTGTTTTTTTTGTCGGTACAGAACTTTAGCCACTGGTTGTTTTAAATATTCTATATAACTACAGTTGACATTGACAGACTGTGTTTACAAAGCAAGGAAAAATGGGGTACGTTCAAAAAAAAGGCATTCTGTTTGATGGGATTACTGATGAGTCTTGGTCTTGTTTAGGCCTTTAGGTCCTGTCTTTTGACCCGTCCTGCTCCACCCAGAGGCTACTCCACCTCTGCTGCTGTGACCCGTCCTGCTCCACCCAGAGGCTACTCCACCTCTGCTGCTGTGACCCGTCCTGCTCCACCCAGAGGCTACTCCACCTCTGCTGCTGTGACCTGTCCTGCTCCACCCAGAGGCTACTCCACCTTGTGACCCGTCCTGCTCCATCCAGAGGCTACTCCACCTCTGCTGCTGTGACCTGTCCTGCTCCACCTCCACCTCTGCTGCTGCAATCCGTCCTGCTCCACCCAGAGGCTACTCCACCTCTGCTGCTGTGACCTGTCCTGCTCCACCCAGAGGCTACTCCACCTCTGCTGCTGTGACCTGTCCTGCTCCACCCAGAGGCTACTCCACCTCTGCTGCTGTGACCTGTTCTGCTCCACCCAGAGGCTACTCCACCTCTGCTGCTGTGACCTGTCCTGCTCCACCCAGAGGCTACTCCACCTCTGCTGCTGTGACCTGTTCTGCTCCACCCAGAGGCTACTCCACCTCTACTGTGACCTGTTCTGCTCCACCCAGAGGCTACTCCACCTCTGCTGCTGTGACCCGTCCTGCTCCACCCAGAGGCTACTCCACCTCTGCTGCTGTGACCCGTCCTGCTCCACCCAGAGGCTACTCCACCTCTGCTGCTGTGACCCGTCCTGCTCCACCCAGAGGCTACTCCACCTCTGCTGCTGTGACCCGTCCTGCTCCACCCAGAGGCTACTCCACCTCTGCTGCTGTGACCCGTCCTACTCCACCCAGAGGCTACTCCACCTCTGCTGCTTTTAATAAAACTGCGATCACACACTAAGCACTATCAGCAAAGTTGAGTTTTGTTTTTGCTTTATGTAACAAAATGGTAAATTGTCAGACTTGTACATATTTTCAAGGCACTCAAAGCGCTTCACATCAAGGGAGCTGGAACAGTCTTCCTGAAAATGTGAGACAGGCTTCTTCTCTGACAATGTTCTCATCCAGGTTGAAAACAGTTGTGTTTATCCGTGCTACAACTGAAGGATTGTATGTTCACGCTTCTCAAATTACTGCGATTATTAATACCTCAGTGTTTTGTTAAGCATTTTGAGTTGCCTTCTATATGAACTGTGCTATACAGATAAACTTACCTTTCCTTTGTGTGAACTGGTCTGGGAAATGACAAAACATATATAGACAAAATACATTACTCACTCACAATCTTTTACCTCTGCCTTCAATCCTTTGACTTTCTATACTTTACGATATGGTCTATTGTCTGTCTTGGTTCTGTTTCTTACACTCGCAAATAAAACAAACAATGAACGATGGTATATAGTATAAAAACCAGAAAGACAAGACTATAGTTGATGCTTTTATTGTCAGGTGAGCATACCAGAGCAGCCATGCAGTGAACTAGCCTCCATTCTAGTCACTGAAGCCAACAGGTTAAATATCATGACGTCATATGCACAAACTATATTGCTCTTTGTATGAATATAAAATAAAGTGTGGCTAGAACTGTGCATAGTATTTTGCGTTTTGTGCTGATGATATTTTGAATGCATATATTTGAAGTGGATATGGGGTCTATTGTACTTAAGGTAATGCCCTTATATGGCTCTGGGAACGACGACACAGAGAGCGGACTGAGTACTGTCTGCATTTGTACAAAGCTGAGTCTTATTTACATTTATTGCCTTTTTTGGGGGGGATGTTAAACCAAAGCAAATGAGTATGGTGTAGTATGGTGTGAATATGGTGGAGTATGGTGCAAGTATGGTGGAGTATGATGGAGTATGGTGGAGTGTGGTGGGGTAAGGTGGAGTATGGTGCGAGTATGGTGGGGTATGGGGCAGTATGGTGGGATATGGTGGGGTATGGTACAGTATGGTGGAGTATGGTGGGGTATGGTACAAGTATGGTGGAGTATTGTGAATTATGAAGGAGTTTGGTGGAGTATGGTGCGAGCATGGTGGGGTATGGTTGAGTATGGTGCGAGTATTCTAGAGTATGGTGGGGTATGGTGGAGTATGGCGCGAGTATGGCGCGAGTATTGTGAATTATGAAGGGGTTTGGTGGAGTATGGTGCGAGCATGGTGGGGTATGGTTGAGTATGGTGCGAGTATTCTAGAGTATGGTGGGGTATGGTGGAGTATGGCGCGAGTATGGTGGAGTATGGTGGAGTATGATGCGAGTATGGTGGAGTATGATGCGAGTATGGTGGAGTATGGTGCGAGTATGGTGGAGAATGGTGGTGTATGATGTGAGTATGGTGGAGTATGATGTGTGTGGAGTATGGTGGAGTATGGTGGAGAATGGTGGTGTATGATGAGAGTATGGTGGAGTATGGTGGAGAATGCGACAACAATAACAACATTTTCCACAGAATATGACTTTCTTTGTGTCTCTGACTCTGACATGAAAGAGCAGCAGAGACAGCAGACAGCAGCCTTCACTCTGCAGGAGCCACACAGACATGACAGGAGCATTACTGGTTATTACTGAGACATAAACAGAGTTGGAGAGATAGGATGTAATGACAGGAAGCTACAGTGGAGGGAGGGAGTGAGTGAAGGGCACAGCGAGGGCAGAAGAACAGCCCCCGGAGGCAGGAGCTGTGAAGAGCAGAGTGTCGCGTCCTCTCCAGAGATGAGGACCACAGAGTTTTAGACAAATCCTCATGTTTCCAAAAATGTAAACTCACAACAAAAGATAAGAAAGAGATAAATAACAGAACGTTGCTTCTCAAACTGTGGTGCTCGCGGCCCCCCGGTGGTCAGAGGTGAAAGCTGCTCTGTGAAGTTCAGCTTAGTGTTTTGTTTTTGTTCCAGATGAGTTGAGTCAATGTTTTATTATTGCATTCCAAGTTTAGTCACGACTCTATGATCTATGACGGTGATTAGTAATTGTTGGTTATGGTTTACACACAACATGTACTAGACAGCCCACTGCCCGAAAGATACATACAGAATAAATAAAATAAAATAAATAATGACATAAAAAATAAGTTAATAAAAAAATTAATTAATTTAATAAAAAAATTAATTAATTTAATAAAAAGATACTAATAATAATGATTAAGATAAAAATAAAATAAATATAATAATAATAAAAAAATAAATTTTAAAAAATGAATATGAAAAAATAAAATCTAAAATTAAAATAAATACAATAAATTAAATAAATACAAAAAATAAACAGTAATTTGTTCGGATGTGGTGATATGCAGACTCACAAAGTAGTTCTTGAGTAACAACATTTTGACATCATTGAAGTCTTACGCAGGCCACTGGAGACGGCTACAGAGGTATAGCCCGACTGTCTGTTCTCGTGCTACATTTCTGCGGAGTACACAGGTTAAAGAAATCCCTTGGCCGACTGCACTTTAAAAAGTCTTCAGGCAGAAATAGCAAACTTGTGGGCGGAGCTACGCGGCGGTCCACTCAAGCTGATGACGTGGGAGAGGCTGTTTCTCGGCGAAAAAGCTCCTGAGGGGAGTGACCTTCTCCAGGGTCCAGGGCGGAGGTGAGCGCCGCCCCCAGTGTCATATCTCCACCACGTTCTTCACCGGGACCATGCCGCGCTTCTTTCCGCTGCTCAGGCGCAAAAAACCTTCCAGCTCCTCGTTCTTCCCCACACAGATCTGCAGAGGAACAGATATCGGAATGAACTACATGCTACCACAGCGATCACCAAATATATGGACTTTTGATGCTAACCTGAGCTAGTGAAGCAGTATTCTAGTCCAACCATAAACACCATTTATAATATCTTAGTTTTTTTTTTACCTTTTCCACTGGAAGAATGTAATGTGTTTTCACTGTAAACACATGGCAGTTCATGTATTTTTGTTGTGATGAAATGATTGATGAAATTGTAATCATGAAAGTGTACTGTCACCTTATCAACCTACCAAAATGAAAAGGGGCAGCTTTTTTGCTTCTGTCTGCTCCTTTTGAGCCTCTATATTATAAGATAAGATAAACTTTATTGATCTCACAATGGAGAAATGTACTTAATTTATTTAATGTCACATTTGGCACAGATAGAATCACTCAGGTTGTGCAAAAACACAGAGGTGTGCATCATTTTAAGGTTAAAATATAGTCTGTGCAGGATATAATTAACTGTTTGTAACATGTGTATATGTCCAAGCACTCATTAAACTAAACTAAACTAAACCAAACTAAACCAGGTCATTACCATCACATGTATATTAGAGATGGACTGACCAAGACCTGATGTCACCAAAGTGTTAGCCTAAATGCAGAGAAAAGGATTGGAACATAAGCTAGTTGGTGCCAATATCCTTATATGGATAGATATGTTTCTAACATGGTTGCTAGGGCAAGCTGGAGCTTTCCCTGCAAATGAAGGTATCTGATTGGTCGATCCTAATTTGGCTCATATCTGGATTTACAAAGGCACTATTAAAATAAAAACCCCTAGATCAGGGAAAGCTCTAGACCACAGATTTTTAAGCGAAAAATTACAGTGTCCCAGGTTCAGAAATATAAATCATTTAAAAAACATGAAACACAATTTAAGTTACTGACATCACCTTTAAAGATTGTATATCAGGAACATATGTTGGTGTTGACCTTCAGTAAAAACAAATGAAACCGTTTGGACAGAGGTGATCAGCTGAGAACAGTGGCACTCTGTCCTCTGTAAATTCACCATTTTCCTGCATCTATTTGCATCACATTATGTTTATGTAAACTGCAGAAAGACAGAGTGGGAGGACGGGATTGTGCACGTTTCACACAAAAGAACACTTTAAGCTGATTTTCTCCTAAAAGTTAAAGAGGAAATACATCTAGCTTGTCCCTTTCTGTTATAGACCCTTGAACAGATCAGTCACATTCATAAATGTTGGCACACACCTTTTTCCCAAACTCCTGCACGAGCCAATCAGCACTGACCTCTTCCTTACACGTATGGATCAGATACTATTTCTAATTAGATAAAGAACATATATAGTGGTGCATTTACATTACACAATCTGGAGATAAGAAACAAAAGGGAACACAGTAGTCCCTCGATTCACGGCCTTTTTTCATTCTTCTTTTCCACAGCTTCTCAAATGCCATGCTCATAACAACAACACATAACATGACTGTTTATTTTAGTTAAAGTCAGAAGAAAACTTGTCTGGCTTGTGTGCTCCGCTGTGATTGGTTCAGAGGTCTTGCCACAGCCCTGAGTCCTGCCACAGATCAAGTCCTGCCACAGACCTGAGTCCTGCCACAGCCCTGAGTCCTGCCACAGCCCTGAGTCCTGCCACAGCCCTGAGTCCTGCCACAGATCAAGTCCTGCCACAGCCCTGAGTCCTGCCACAGACCTGAGTCCTGCCACAGACCTGAGTCCTGCCACAGACCTGAGTCCTGCCACAGCCCTGAGTCCTGCCACAGACCTGAGTCCTGCCACAGACCTGAGTCCTGCCACACCCCTGAGTCCTGCCACAGCCCTGAGTCCTGCCACAGACCTGAGTCCTGCCACAGACCTGAGTCCTGCCACACCCATGAGTCCTGCCACAGACCTGAGTCCTGCCACAGCCCTGAGTCCTGCCACAGACCTGAGTCCTGCCACAGCCCTGAGTCCTGCCACAGCCCTGAGTCCTGCCACAGCCCTGAGTCCTGCCACAGACCTGAGTCCTGCCACAGACCTGAGTCCTGCCACAGACCTGAGTCCTGCCACAGCCCTGAGTCCTGCCACAGCCCTGAGTCCTGACACAGCCCTGAGTCCTGCCACAGACCTGAGTCCTGCCACAGACCTGAGTCCTGCCACACCCCTGAGTCCTGCCACAGACCTGAGTCCAGCCACAGCCCTGAGTCCTGCCACAGACCTGAGTCCTGCCACAGACCTGAGTCCTGCCACAGCCCTGAGTCCTGCCACAGACCTGAGTCCTGCCACAGCCCTGAGTCCTGCCACAGCCCTGAGTCCTGCCACAGACCTGAGTCCTGCCACAGCCCTGAGTCCTGCCACAGACCTGAGTCCTGCCACAGCCCTGAGTCCTGCCACAGTCCTGAGTCCTGCCACAGCCCTGAGTCCTGCCACAGCCCTGAGTCCTGCCACAGACCTGAGTCCTGCCACAGCCCTGAGTCCTGCCACAGTCCTGAGTCCTGCCACAGTCCTGAGTCCTGCCACAGCCCTGAGTCCTGCCACAGACCTGAGTCCTGCCACAGATCAAGTCCTGCCACAGATCAAGTCCTGCCACAGACCTGAGTCCTGCCACAGCCCTGAGTCCTGCCACAGATCAAGTCCTGCCACAGATCAAGTCCTGCCACAGCCCTGAGTCCTGCCACAGACCTGAGTCCTGCCACAGACCTGAGTCCTGCCACAGACCTGAGTCCTGCCACAGATCAAGTCCTGCCACAGCCCTGAGTCCTGCCACAGACCTGAGTCCTGCCACAGCCCTGAGTCCTGCCACAGTCCTCAGTCCTGCCACAGCCCTGAGTCCTGCCACAGATCAAGTCCTGCCACAGACCTGAGTCCTGCCACATCCTCAGTCCTGCCACAGCCCTGAGTCCTGCCACAGACCTGAGTCCTGCCACAGCCCTGAGTCCTGCCACAGATCAAGTCCTGCCACAGACCTGAGTCCTGCCACAGTCCTCAGTCCTGCCACAGCCCTGAGTCCTGCCACAGACCTGAGTCCTGCCACAGACCTGAGTCCTGCCACAGCCCTGAGTCCTGCCACAGTCCTCAGTCCTGCCACAGCCCTGAGTCCTGCCACAGCCCTGAGTCCTGCCACAGCCCTGAGTCCTGCCACAGATCAAGTCCTGCCACAGCCCTGAGTCCTGCCACAGCCCTGAGTCCTGCTACTGCCTCTCAGCGCGGTCTCCTCTGCCGCTGTGTTTTTTTACAGTGTATGTACGGCTTTTGACAGCTGCAGCAGCACAGCATAAAGTGTGTGGTGAGGGGTTTTAGAGACTTACAACACACAGCTGAGAGGGACCATGTATCATTGTTGTTCTGCCTGTATACGGCTGCACTAGACTAGTAACAAAACAATAGGGAAATAATAGGGAAACCTGTATGTATAAGGATAGATAGATAGATACTGTATTGATCCCTCATAGGAGAAATTCAGGTGTCCATTAGCAGCAGAAACACATGCATCCATACAAACAAAACAAAAGATTATTCTAAAAGCTAGCAATTATAATGCAGTTTCGTTCACTTTGTACCAACAGCTCTGAACACAGACATATCACAGCGTCTCACCTGTGTCACTCCTCACTCAAACCATGTTTTTGTACAAGCCCCAGACACCAGACCCACCTTTATTTTTACTAAACAATGAGTGATATACTGTAGAAGGTCGAGGGCGGCCTAGTCACCTGAGCCTCTTTGACGCTCATCTGGCCGTGGTCTCGATTTCCGTGGAAGCCGGCGTTGACCTTCCACACCCTCTCTCCTGGACGAACCCGCTGGACAAAGTTGGCCGGGAAGAAGCCCACCTTGTCTCTGATCTTCCCCTGAACACAACCACGGGAGCGAGAGGCCGTTAGTTCTTGTTGAGGTGAAGCTACAGCGCGTGTATGAGCCGTAATGAGATGTGTAAATGCCCGTTGAGCACAATCAATAACATCGACCGGTGCAGTCCATTCGAGAACTCACATCCTCAGTAGCTACTCCCCCCCATCCACCATCGAAGTGACGTCAGGAAATAACAAAAGAGCAACTGTGTTTTTTTCATCTTTCTGCAACGCTGCCTCATAAAGCGATTTTGAGCATTTGTGGGGCTATAATCCGCCGTATTGTCTGTAGGGAGCGTGGCGTGTGCAGGAAAACAAAACCCAGGGGTGATCCACATAATTATGAAGGCTGCGGTTTGTGGGCAGATGGTTGTGGCTCTTCACTTCAACCAAAGCCCAAAGCTGTTTGTAGCTTAAGTGTCGAGACTAAAGGTTTAAATATCCTCATACAATACATGCTTTCCAATGATTTATTAAAGGACTTCAGTTTTCAATTGTATTTTGTGTTTGAATAATGCATGTTGTTGACCATAATCATGTTGTATGTAAAGCAAGTATTTTTCAAGAACAATATATTTAACACAGTCTCTCTCCTTGGCACAACCACCACCAGTAAGATTAACTGGAGGAGAATAGTTAGACCAGTGACACGGATTCAAATGTATTCTGTCCAATCAGGAAGCACTGGGGGTGAGAATGGGCGGGTCTAACCGGTCCAAGCTTTTGAACAAACTCTCTCTCTCTTCCCAATTCAAAAATTCACTGGAATTCACTTCAAAAGCCGATATTTCACTAATCTTTCAGCTACTATTAGTGACTAATTACTGTTTTAATTACTTCATCTACAGACGTGGGCCCTTACCATTGGTCCAACTATTTTCTAGCAGCAAATCTTATTGGTGGAGATTATGCCAAGGAGAAAGAATGTATAAATTGTATTGCTTTTGAAAAATAGTTTACATGATTCTACACAATCATATAGTCAAAAAGTACATAATAGCACTAATTAACCTGGTCTTATCACACCATCGCGCTAACTCTGGTCTGGATTTGCTTAATTGAGCTCCGTTAGCAGGTGATTGCAGCATGAGCAAACGAGAAACGATTGGATCTGAGTTTGCCGTGCTGTATTTAATGTGCCCTAGTGAGTTGCTAGCATTTAGCCTAGCTTTAGCCATCTCCTTTGCCGCTAACGGAACCCGTGGGGAGTAGAGCCACAACATCTTTGCAGCAAGGACATTTACTAAACATTCCTCTTGCTCCGGCTTCAGTTTCTTGATATTTGGAGCCGAACCAGAACGCATTACTTTACTAGCGCATTCGCCGTCATTGCCACAACTACAACCAGCAAATTCGGCGCGAACTCTAGACGTCACCGACACAGACCTACAACCCCCGTCTCTCCCGCTCTCTGATTGGTCGGAGGGGATTTAAGCGAGAAAACTGCAGCCACTAGGATCAGACCCAGACGTACATGTAGGAAATGATCATGGACCAGAGTTTACGGATGGCTAAGGCTAGGTTAGCACTACATAATAATGCAGTGTCCCATGGTCACAAATATGCATTATTCTAACAATGAAATATAATTTAAGTATATGTATGACATCACCTTTAAATACAACCAAGGAATCCACTTATTATGCAGCAAAGTGCGAGAATGGAGAGTGTAGTTTTTGTAGATGGCGTGATACAAAATGGACGTGTTCTAATCTCAGTCTTAATGCAGACACTCTTTGACAGACAGGTGAAGGCTGAGCTCTCGTCTCATTGGCTGTGATGTCTAAAGATGTTTCCTACGGTAACGAGCTGGAACACCCACACGGCCGTCCTTCAGCGCTCCCCTTGTCATGTTGTTACTTAAAGGAATAGTTCACCGTTTGTACATACTGACATGTGTTTTACCTTACCTTAGACTAGTTAATATGTACCTGTCTGGTCTTAGTCCGTGCGCTCTGTCATGCAAACGGAGCAAAAACGGGAGCACAAACGCAGCCTCCTCTGTATACTGTGTAGGACCAAAAGTTAGCTCCCGCTAGAAGCTACCAAACTCTTCCAAGTGTTCCCTATTAAATGTATATAGTTACGTGACGTGTTACACTGCAAAGTATAGTAACACAGAAATGTAACTGTCGATTTTCTCAGCGGATAAAACGGGTACTATATTGTGAGGCGTAGTAATCTGAGGAGCGCTACGTCCGCGCACTAACTTCTCTCCGGAGACTTCTCTCTCGCTCACTTCAGAAAGTCCCAGCGTAGATAGTCCGAGCGTAGATAGTCCGAGCGTAGATAGTCCGAGCGTAGATAGTCCGAGCGTAGACAAGCCTAGATAGTCCGAGCGTAGATCGTCCGAGCGTAGATAGTCCCGATCGTAGATAGTCCGAGCGTAGATAGTCCGAGCACAGATAGTCCCGAGCACAGATAGTCATAGCGTAATAGTCCGAGCGAAAAGATAGTCCGAGCACAGATAGTCAGAGCGTAGATAGTCCGAACGTAGATAGTCCGAGCGTAATAGTCCGAGCGTAGATAGTCCGAGCACAGATAATCCGAGCGTAGATAGTCCGAGCGTAGATAGTCCGAGCGTAGATAGTCTGAGCATAATAGTCCCGAGCGTAGATAGTCCGAGCACAGATAGTCCGAGCGTAGATAGTCATCATCAGATAGTCCGAGCGAAGATAGTCCGAACGTAGATAGTAGAAGCAGCGTGATAGTCCGAGCACAGAAAATCCGAGCGTAGATAGTCCGAGCGTAGATAGTCTGAGCGTAATAGTCCCCCCCGAGCGTAGATAGTCCGAGCACAGATAGTCCGAGCGTAGATAGTCCGAGCGTAAGATAGTCCGAGCGTAGATAGTCCGAGCGTAGATAGTCCGAGCGTAGATAGTCCGAGCGTAGATAGTCCGAGCGTAGACAGTCCGAGCCTAGATAGTCTGAGCGTAGATAGTCCGAGCGTCAGATAGAGTCCGAGCGTAGATAGTCCGAGCGTAGATAGTCCGAGCACAGATAGTCCGAGCACAGATAGTCAGAGCGTAATAGTCCGAGCGTAGATAGTCCGAGCACAGATAGGCAGAGCGTAGATAGTCCGAACGTAGATAGTCCGAGCGTAATAGTCCGAGCGTAGATAGTCCGAGCACAGATAATCCGAGCGTAGATAGTCCGAGCGTAGATAGTCCGAGCGTAGAATATGTCCGAGCGTAGATAGTCCGAGCGTAGATAGTCCCGAGCACAGATAGTCCGAGCGTAGATAGACCCGAACGTAGATAGTCCGAGCGTAATAGTCCGAGCGTAGATAGTCCGAGCGTAGATATTCTGAGCGTAATAGTCCGAGCGTAGATAGTCCCGAGCACAGATATCCGAGCGTAGATAGTCCGAGCACAGATAGTCCGAGCGTAGATAGTCCCGAACGTAGATAGTCCGAGCGTAATAGTCCGAGCGTAGATAGTCCGAGCGTAGATAGTCCGAGCGTAGATAGTCCGAGCACAGATAGTCCGAGCACAGATAGTCAGAGCGTAATAGTCCGAGCGTAGATAGTCCCGAGCACAGATAGTCAGAGCGTAGATAGTCCGAACGTAGATAGTCCGAGCGTAATAGTCCGAGCGTAGATAGTCCGAGCACAGATAATCCGAGCGTAGATAGTCCGAGCGTAGATAGTCCGAGCGTAGATAGTCCGAGCGTAGATAGTCCGAGCGTAGATAGTCCTAAAAAAAAAATAGAAAAAAAAAAAAAAAAAAGGAAAAAAAAAAAAAAAAAAAAGCACAGATAGTCCGAGCGTAGATAGTCCGAACGTAGATAGTCCGAGCGTAATAGTCCGAGCGTAGATAGTCCGACGCGTAGATAGTCCGAGCGTAGATAGTCTGAGCGTAATAGTCCGAGCACAGATAGTCCGAGCGTAGATAGTCCGAGCACAGATAGTCCGAGCGTAGATAGTCCGAACGTAATAGTCCCGAGCGATAATAGTCCGAGCGTAGATAGTCCGAGCACAGATAATCCGAGCGTAGATAGTCCGAGCGTAGATAGTCTGAGCGTAATAGTCCTAGCGTAGATAGTCCGAGCACAGATAGTCCGAGCGTAGATAGTCCGAGCGTAAGATAGTCCGAGCGTAGATAGTCAGAGCGTAGATAGTCCGAGCGTAGATAGTCCGAGCGTAGATAGTCCGAGTGTAGATAGTCCGAGCGTAGATAGTCCCGAGCGTAGATAGTCCGAGCGTAGATAGTCCGAGCGTAGATAGTCCGAGCACAGATAATCCGAGCGTAGATAGTCCGAGCGTAGATAGTCTGAGCGTAATAGTCCGAGCGTAGATAGTCCGAGCACAGATAGTCCGAGCGTAGATAGTCCGAGCGTAGATAAATTTTTTTAGTCCGAGCGTAGATAGTCCGAGGCGGTCCCGCAGGTCTCTCCCATAGACCAGTCTCTCCAGAGGATACGATGTAAGCTAGCTCTGTTCAGGGCTGGGTTTCTTCTTTGATCATGTTTAGCTTTAGTTCCCTCTTCTCTTCCTCACTGTTGTGTGGTTTGGGCTGTTTTGCTGAGTCTGCAGTTACAGCCAGAGGAGTTATAGCCACTGATGCTAACATGCTACTGTGTTTAGCAGCGCTGTAGAGGCTAGAGGACGCAGCCTCGTCCTGTGATTGGAGGAGAGCGGGCGTCACGCTAAGTCTCTACTAAGCACTTTTTAGTGCTTAGTAGAGACACTCGGCTTTCAACCGCTGGCTGTCTGGCTGGTGCCCTCGAAGTGGTGTATGTTCATGTTGACAATTGGAGTGCCTTTTGGGGAAAGCCCGGTCTCATCCGCTCGGATGATATCCACCCAACGTTGGCGGGTACATCCCTTTTGGCTAAGAATTTGGCCCTGGCTCTAAACTGTTCTGCTCGGCTCAAATGACGATGCAGAACTGAGGCCCGGGTGCAGAGCTGCTCTGCCACAACCTCTGAGCCCTCATCTGTTCAGTTACTAGCCTCAGAGGCTAGTCAGATTGAAACTGTGTGTGCATGTGTGTGTGTGCCTGTGTGTGCTCAGTTACTAGCCTCAGAACCTAGTCAGATTGAAACTGTGTGTGTTCCCCGCTTGAAGTCTAAAGCACTATATGCGAGGAAATCTGACCTAGGTGTCAGACACAGTAACTTAATAAAAGTTCAGACAGACAGAAATAGTTCTAGCGGTAGGGTTGTTAAATGTGGTTTAATGGAACGTCAGATCAATCTCGTCTAAATCGCTTCTCATAAACGAACTTATTATAGACAAGGGCTTGGATCTGTTTGCGCTCTCGGAGACTTGGCTCCAACAGGACGACTACGTCAGATTGAATGAGTGCACTCCTCCGACGCATGTTAACTACCAGAAAGCCAGAGCTACAGGTCGCGGCGGTGGTGTTGCGATTATATCACACACCAACTTGGTTCTTAGTCCCAAAACCAACAACGCTTTTCACTCGTTTGAAAACTTAACACTTTCAATCACCTGTCCTGGGTGGAGAAAACAAAAAGCAGTACTATTTATAGTTTTATACCGACCTCCTGGTCCTTACAGCGAGTTCCTAACAGAATTCTCTGACTTCATTTCAAACCTAGTTTTGGAATGGGAAAACATAGTTATAGCTGGAGACTTCAATATACATGTGGACGACAGCACTGACAGCTTAAACAACGCTTTCAGCGCCGTACTAGATGGTGTTGGTTTTACTCAGAATGTCGAGGAACCTACTCACATTCATAACCACACCTTGGACCTTGTCCTGACCTACGGCTGTGATGTCTCCAATGTTGACATCCAGCGTCAAAGCTCGTTGCTGTCTGACCATTTCTTGATCACGTTTGATCTCGCTTTGGAGGACTTTCCTGTCCCGCAAGATAAAACCATAATGAAAAGAACCTTAAATGATAAATCTATCACAAGGTTCAAAGAACTAATACAGCCTATGTTGAATACTGCTGCAGGTGAACCTGTTCACAGCAGCTGCAGTCCCTCAGTCATTGACCAAACGGTGGGCAACACTATGGAGTCTTTAAAATCTGCATTAAATGCAGCAGCTCCTTTAAAACAGAAAACCATTAGGATTAGATCATCGTCGCCCTGGTACAGTGTTCAACTCCACACTTTAAAACAGGACGTCAGAAAATTGGAGAGGCTATATCGCCACTCCCACCTGGAGCCTGTCCACAGGGAGTGGAAAGCAGGTCTCCGAAACTACAAGAAGGCCCTTCGCGGGGCTCGAACTCAATACTATTCAACTTTAATAGAAGCGAATAAAAACAACAGTAGATTTTTGTTTGGTACCGTCGCTAAACTCACAAACTGCCATAGCGCAATCGAGCCTAAAATTCCAAGCTCACTGAGCAGTGTCGACTTTCTCCACTTCTTTAATATTAAAATTACATCCATCCGTGACAAGCTGGAGGAGGTTGCTCCTGCTGTTAGTGGTGGACAGGTTGAAGCGGCATACGTGACTTCCCACTTAGACTCTTCAGTGGGTCTTAATAAATTCATGGCTGTGAGCCAAGCAGAGGTGATCTCTGTGGTCACATCCTCAAAAGCCTCAACTTGCATGTTAGACGCAGTCCCGACATGGCTCTTCAAAGACATACTTCCTTTGATAATTGAGCCTATCGTAAATATAATAAACGCATCCATACAATGTGGCTATGTCCCACAAGCTTTTAAAACCGCGGTAATCAAACCCCTTCTGAAGAAAACAAACCTGGACCCAGAAATACTTACAAACTACAGACCGATCTCAAACCTCACTTTTATGTCTAAAATCCTGGAAAAACTTATAGCTGAGCAGCTCCGCTGCCACCTGCAGGAAAATGATATGTTTGAAGTCTTTCAATCAGGATTCAGAGCTCATCATAGCACTGAAACGGCACTAGTCAAAGTCACAAATGACTTACTACTAGCTGCCGATAATGGACAAGTGTCAGTGCTGGTCCTACTGGACCTTAGTGCTGTATTTGACACAATAGACCACAGCATTCTACTGCAGAGGCTAGAATGTGATATAGGTCTTAAAGGAACAGCCCTTGGCTGGTTTAAATCCTATTTATCAGATCGATATCACTTCGTCAATGTGAATCAGGACTCGTCGCCTTATTCTGGAGTGGAATTCG